CCAGAGAGAAATAACTATGTCATAGTTAAGTTCTCTTTTTTGGTAATTGTCTTTAGGTTTCTAAAACACATAGTTCATCTAATCAAAACATATGTTCTTCATCTTTACTTCATTATTCCATTTTAAAAAAACCTGTTAAGTTATTAATAGATACAAGTTACTGGAATAAGTTATTAATACATATACTCTCCCTATTTTTTTTTGTATAATGTTTTAGAAAAAAAATTACAGTTTCTAAGTGTGTTGATTTTTTTAGGGTAAAACTATTAAAGTAATTATTTAAATATTAAAAACCTTGGTTCTTCAAAGTTACTAATTAAAACGATCGCGACACATAGAAATTATATATTTCAGATTATGACATGTGTTAAAATATATCTTATGATTTTTTACTAAGTAAATAAAAACGAAACTAAGTTAATAAAAACGATTTTTTAAGTAATAGTAATTATCGGTTTTTACAAATACTATACCAAAATAAATTTTTACAATATTTAGCACTAATTTTCCTTTTCTGAAGTCATAAAGAAAATATAATTGTGAAAAATATTTAATCCTAACTAGCCTTCTAAAATATTCAATAATATAATATCCATAATTTATAATTTTCAGTTACGCTAAAAAGTATTTTATTAGTTAACTGTGTTACTATTTTTTTGCTAGTTATAATAGAAACATATTTGAAAATTATATTAATTTCATGCTATAACGAAGAAAATTTCAAAACTAAAACTATCCTTAAATACCGCTGAATTACATAGAAAATAATAATAATAATAATCACTTCAAATTGGTAACACGAACAAATTATTTCAAATTAAAAAAACAAAATAGTTAAATAAAATGAAATGTATGAATTCTGCTTAATTGATCATTTTGTCTAATCGTTTTTTCTTATAATGTTTGAGTTGTATTGAACTGATGATATATAGACACCCCCAAAATCCCATTTGTCAACACCTAGTTTAAGAGAGCGGATTCTATTTTTAAATGAAAAAATCGCATTTTTAACATTTAAGGTGGCAAAAGTTTGCACTTTAAACCTTGAGATTATAGCACTTGCACTTTAAACCGTCAACATGATTTCTCCAACACATTTAACATCGATCGTGACAGACCTCGTCGTGCCGTAACAAGAATAAACAGAACAGTTACGGAACAGTTAACACCGTCAAAGATCCGTTCACTTTTTTAAAACGTGCTTACTATTATTAACTTTCTCATTTAACAACACGTGATATAGTCTAATTTTAAATCCTTATCTCCTTTAACAAAAAAACCAAATTGAATTGGGGATCTAGGATTCTTACATGTGTGAGAGACAAATTGAGAAAGCTGAGATTTCGAAAAAGAAGAAAGAAAATAAAAAAGGCCCTCGGATGCTTGAAAGAAGATGAGGTAAGCATATGAATCACGCACTTGTTATGGGTTTGTCGATTTATGAGATTCGCTTGGTGTTCTAATTCGAATTTGATTGTATACACAGTGAAGGAACGGCAGTAACGTTGAGAATCCTTTTCGGTGGAGTAATGGAGAAACATGGAGAAACTTATAAGTATGAGGGTGAATTGGGAGTCAAGACAGTGACGTGGGAATTATATGACATTTCATGGCAGAAGTTTTTGAAGTTCAGTAGGGAAGAGGCGTTGATAAATGCAGCGATAAGAATTATATGGTATAAAGAGGTAGAGAAAGAGATGAAGACACTGAACTATGTTTGTGAAGGATATACCGAAGATATGTTCTTGTTGATCTGTGTCGGCAAAGAAAAATGTGAGGCTGAAGTCTTCGTTGAACATGATATTTCAGAGCATAGTGAGCCACCCATATATCTGGTAACACCAAAGAGCCAGCGTGAAGATGTTCAGGAAGGTGAAGATAAAGATGTTCAGGAAGGTGAAGATAAAGATATTTCCAGTGAAGAAGAAGTCGAGAGACCAATAGAAGATGGAGAACCTGATCAGTCTGAAGATGAAATGAATGATCCCGTGGCTGAAGAAGAAAATGAGGATGTGGCGGAAGAAGAAAATGAACATGTGGCAGGTGGGAATGATGACAACGGAGACGATGTTGTACAAGATGTTGGAGATGTGGTGATGATGGTAGATTTAAGGCAGTTTTTGAAGAAGGCTTAGTGGCGAAAATAGATAAAAGAGCATATCAGAATATTGAGGAAAAAGAAGAAGAAAAACAGGAAGCAGAGGAAAGCATGGAAGAGTGTGTAATAGAAGAGGAGGCTAACTATCCAGATACACCACTTCAATCTGATGAAGAATGGGAGCAGTGGGATAAGGCAACAGAAAAAGGGATGGGAAAAGAAAGTCTAAGTTTCATGGAAACTTGGAGAAGGAACCTTATATTTGGTTGTTTCAGAAATTCAACCCGGGACTAGAATTCAAAGACCAGCTACTTTGATACTCACTAAAGACTCAGTTTGATGACAAGATGGCAAGGTCTGATGCAAACAGAATAGCAGTTGTGTGTTGTGGAGAGGAATGTAAATTTAGGGTTTATTGTTCCTTTGAACCGCCTATCAATAAGTGGATGGTGAAGGTGTGTCAGATGCATCACAACCATGGAAAATCAAGCAGAGTGTCGATGTTGAAACAAGGAGTGATTGCAAGTTTGTTTAGAGAGGAAATAAGAAGAAACATAAGCTTGCAAGCTACTGTGATCAAAGACATGATTAAAGAGAGATGCATCATTGTTCCAATTACAAAGTGTTATAGAGGAAGACGCATTGCTTTGGACAGTATCTTAGAAGCTCAAGCAACTCAGTTTGGTAAGTTGTGGGATTATGAAGCCGAACTGAGACGCACACATTTTGATATCAGTACTGAGCTATGTACTGTCAAGAAGAATGGTAAAGATATGTTCGACTGTTTCTATATCTGCTTTAAGGAATTCAGTAAAACATGGAAAATTTTTTGTCGACCAGTTATTGGCTTGGATGGATGTTTTATGAAATGGGAGTTGACGGGAGCTTTACTTGCAGCCGTAGGAAGAGATGCAGACAATAGAATGTACCCAATTGCCTGGGCAGTGGTTAGAGGTGAGAATAAGGACACTTGGGGATGGTTTATTAAGAAGCTGAAGACGGACCTTAACATTGAGAATGGAGAGAACTTGACAATCATTTCTGATAAACAGAAGATATTTTTTTCTTTCTATTATATAGTCTATGTTTTTACTTACTTATTATGTATGTGCTTATGGTCTTTTTCTTCACAGGGTCTTGTGATTGCTGTAGAGAAAGAACTTCCAAATTCTGAGCATCATATGTGTGCAAGGCATATCTATGCAAATTGGAAGAAGAGAGGATTCTCAAGATCTGAATATAAAATCTGTTTTGGGGCGTTGCCTACAGTTATACTGAGGGGGAATATGAAGAGAAGATGGACTTGGTTAAGGAATTTGATCCTGCGGCTTATAGTGCTCTACTTGAGACAGAACTCGAGAGATGGTGCCGTGCGTTCTTCAAGGAGGAGTCCCATTGTGCAGACGTGCACAATAACTTGTCTGAGAGTTTCAATAGGACGATAAAGATGGCAAGATCAAAGCCTGTAATTAATTTACTTGAAGATATCAGAAAACAAACTATGAGAAGGGTTTCGAGAAGATCTTTAAAAGCAGAGAAGTGTGACACTATTGTTACACCAATCACGATGGCATTATTGGAGAAAGCTCGAGTTGCCAAACAGTTTTGCTCGATGCTAAGGAGCAGCAAAAGTGTGTTAAAGAGTTCGAGTGTGATTATTCAATGAATTTATCTACTCACCAATGTGCTTGTCGGAAATGGGATCTCACTGGAATACCTTGTAAACATGTTGTCTGTGTCCTGGATGATAACCAAGATGATCCTATAAGGTATGTGGCAGAGTACTACTACACAGATGTCTTGAAAAAAGACTTATGAAGAAAATATTAAACATGTGAATGGAGACAAGTTATGGAAGAAGACTTATAAGCCACCAATATTCATACCTGAATTTCGTAAGCCAAGGGGTCGTCCAAAGACTAGGGACAGAAGAAAGGAACAATTTGAAGATCTGCAAAATTCTGGGAAAACAACTAGACATGGACAAGTTCTTCATTGTAGTTGTTGTAAGCAAGCTGGCCATATTTCCAGAGGATGCAAGAATGAACTTGTAGTTGTGGAGGGGCCAAAAAATAGATGTGGTCGTCCAAGAAAGAACACATATGAGGTATTTACTTCCACTTTTAAATTTTGTGTTTCATTTTTAACATATAATTGTGTTGTGATTCAGCCTAAACGACCGAGGAAGGAAGAAAACTCCAGCCACGACTAGCAGCTCTCAACCTATACAATCCAATGCAACCGCTGAAGCTGATGTAAGTTGCAGTGCTCCTCAACCTTCTGGTACAACAAATCACCTCAAAGCACACGTGAAGAAGGCACCAAGAGGACCACCACTGAAGATAAGAAAAACTGGTAACATACCACATGGTGTTGGAACATTTTGGAATCCATTTCTAGATCGCCCATTTGAAGTTTTTGGAGACCGAGTCTATGATAGGTCTGACCTAAACCATGCAACTTCAGAAGACCCAACGTACAAACCGGGCAGCCTTCTTCTGATGGTTAAGAAGGATTTTCTACCTCTTTGCTACCATTATCATCTCTATCTTTGTATTGACTTTTGTATCTTTCACAACCTAGATATCGGCTTTTATATCTTTTGCTACGATTATCGACTTCTGAAAACTATTTCTGATTTTCAATTAAGTTTTTGTTATGTTCTTTACTCCATTATATTTGATAATCAAACATATATATGAGTCTTAAAAACACAAACTATTAAAGCCAATAACATGTCTTACAAACACATGATACTAAAGAAGTTAACATAAGTCTTACAAACATAAAATATTGAAGCCGATAACATAAGTCTTACATGAGTACATAAGAAATAAGCCACAATAGAGATAAGGAACCAGCATCACGAAAAACCAACACAACAGAGATAGCATAAACAACATCAATACTTGGACATCACCATGATACTTCCAATGACCACAGCAAAACCAATCGATGAAGCCACAAGTACATTACGAAGAACAGCACTTCTCTCCCTTAGAATCAACACATCTATTTTCAATGCTTCAACCTCTTCATTGTTTTCATTCATTCTCTCCACTAATTCACTCGAAATCTCCAAATATTCGGAGTCATGAGTTAGAGGTCTTACCTTCTCCTTCAACTTCGTGATTTCCTCCTTTTGCTCTCGGATTATATCCCTAGCTTCCAGAAGTTCCAGATGCTGCCATCCATGAGGATTATCCACATCATACCATCAAAAAAAGTTTCAGGACTCGTACCCATTACCAACGCGACGTCCTCTCCAACTTAGGAACCTTCGCCCTAGATTGTCTCGGCTCCAAGCTCTCTTAATCTTCGTTGAGCGATTACATTGGAAAGTGACAGCACTATCGTTGGATGTTGAAATCGAACTCTCTGCTTGAACACTCTGAGACATTTTTCTTCTCTCTCCCTCTGTCTATTTTGACTCTCACGAACCCTAATTCCCAAATCGTTTTTAGGGATGTTCTTTTTATAAATCAGATATCAATTATATCAAGTGTTGTTAAAAGAGAAAGTTAATAATATTAAGCACGTTTTAAAAAAGTGAACGGATCTTTTACGGTGTTAACTGTTCTGTAACTGTTCCGTTTATTCTTGTTACGGTGCGACGAGGTCTGTCACGATCGATGTTAAATGTGTTAAAGAAATCATGTTGACGGTTTAAAGTGCAAGTGCTATAGTCTCAAGGTTTAAAGTGCAAACTTTTGCCACCTTGAATATTAAAAATGCGATTTTCCCATTTTTAAATTTTGATTAGTTCAATAAAGAGTCTAACTTTGAGAATGCTCCAGAATTTATTGAGCTCATATTCTTCAACTATGTGTTTTTCTGCACCATTGCATAAATAAAAGTTTTAAAACTAAAATCATATTTTGAAAATAAATTTTAGTTACTTTTGAAGTTTATTATTTGTTACATTATTAGTTTATGTTAGTTATATGTAAAAATTAAGATAAAATACACATTTTATTTAAATTTATATTTAATAATATATATGTATATATTTAAAACTAAAATTTTGGAAAGATTTTTTTATTTTTTATTTTTTGATTTTGATTAAAATATGTTAAATCAGATTCTATACCATTAAAATAAAAATTTGTTAGGTATATAATTATCAAAATAAAAAAAAATAAATAATATTTATAAAATGTATAGATGTTATAAATAAAATTAATCAAAATTATTTTATAAACACTCGCATAAAATTTCGCAACAGAAATATTAATCAAAATTATTTAATAAAAATTATTAACCTACACTTTCATGCGGCTGCATCTATTATTTCTCTTCCCACATATTTGATTGCTTAAACATACAGCTAGTCAATAGAGTTCTTAAGCGATTACTTTAATAACCCATATTTTATTATTGCTTACGGAAAGTCACAAGAAAAAAAATTATTAGTTTAATGAACGAATCCTAAATCTACATGCTTGCCTATATGCATATATATTGTTTATCTTCGAAATTGGTAATATAATATACAGAGCCGTGTGAAGGTTTATAGCTATCATAAGTGAGAAAAAATTTCATGAAAACTTATGCATTAAAAATAATAATACCAATTACTATAGAGTATAAATATTTAAATTAAATTAATTAATAAAATATTAATTGCAAAAATTATTATCTTTTTAGTTGGATTTAGAGATAAAATCAGTCAATGTTTTTTTTAACAAATAAAATAAGTCAATGTTTCTTATGCAACACTCAAAATGATACAATTTTATCTGTTTTAGCATCAAAAACATTTAGAAAGCATCTAATTATTCTATTTTTAGTATTTTCTAATAAGTAGCAACTGTTTTCATTTTGTTATTTAAGAAACTCAAATTTTTATCATACTTCCAATTTTTCTTTATTCTAATTACCTAAATGCTATCGCTAGGAACGACCCATCTTGGCTGCATCACCTTCTCGTATTGGAGGCAAAATAAGTAAGGAAGTTGGTATTTCTTATTCTTACTATTTTTGTAACGGTGTCTATTGACATCTTTCTTCTTGTTCTTAAGTTTTATAATTGTCCTCGTGAACTTTATTACTATTCAGTGTTATAAAAAAAAAAATTTTATACCCTTAGTCTATACCTATGATTAGTCTTGGATGATGGCCTTAATTTTTTATAAAAATCGGTTGCCCTAAGCGAGGGTTTAATTTGATCTCACGGAGGCACGGCTCTGTTGCATATATAGATATTGCATGAATCATGAATAATTCAATCTATGGTATATTTTCAATTATTCCTTTACTATATTTACAAGTAATATATCTAAATCCTGAAAAAAAGTTCTGTTATTTATATATTATATGTAAGAAGTTGTCGTTACTAATTCTTCTATATGTCGAGTATATATAGTGATAGTATTCACGTTTTTTTATTGGAAAAATTACTATGATACATAGCTTAGTAATGTTTATTGAAAACAGCTTAGTAATGCATAGCTTGAGCACACATTGTTTGATTAATATTTTTGAGCATGTAGTTTCATAATATATTAAAGTAATTCATAGCTGTTTAATTATTAACATTGTCGGTTGTCATGTTTATAGATGCATCCAATAGCTTTTGTTAACTACTCTTACTTACGGCTGCGCATCATTCACCGATTAATTATTAGACTTACAAGAAAATTGTTTGTGGGTTCACAATTATTTGTTTGTTGGTTTGAAGTGTCATCTGGATGCATGTAATATTTTATTTAAATTATATGATTGTACGTAATAGTGTTCTTGCATAGAATATTATGGATGCATCGTTACTTGTCATTATTAATGTCTACTAACAAAATCTTTACAAGTAAGTACAGGTGATATATGTTTTCGTTAAGATGAGATTTACATGGGACTTAATTAGCCAAGACGTATTAAACATTCCATCATGGATGCATCAGATCTCCAACGATGCACTTCTCCTTATTGAGATAAGTATACAAGGTTAACTAAATCTTGAATTATGATAGCTCAGTAGATGTTCCACGTATTAAGAACAAAACAGAGTGACCGTACTAATAGGATGACTACTAAAACAGATATGAGTAAGCTATATGATAGGATGAAATGGTCCTTCATTATGGTCACCATGAGAAAGATGGGATTTTCCAAAGTTGGGATATCTATGATAATGCGATGCGTAACATCAGTAAAGTACAAGGTCCTCATGAATGGACAGCCAAGAGGGAATATCATCCCGGAGAGAGGTCTAGGACAGGGGATCCTCTGTCCCCTTTCCTTTTTATTCTATGCACGAAAACGCTCGTTAGCCTTCTAAATCACGCTGAGAACCAGGGAAAGATAACGGGAATGCGCATCACGTGTGCGTGCCCTTCGGTATCTCACCTTCTATTTGCTGATGATAGCCTATTCTTTTGTAAGGCGGAGCCCCGTGAATGTGAAGAAGTAATGAAAGTGGTCAAGATATATGGAGAAGCTTCAGGACAATGCATTAATTTTTGATAAGTCTTCTTTACTCTTTGGTAAAAGAATCGGGCAGGATGTAAGACAGGAGATCAAAAACACGCTTAGGATCTACTAGACTACCGGAGGAATTGGATCATATTTAGGAATACCGGAGGATATCAGTGGGTCCAAATGCAAGCTCTTTGCCTTCCTTAAGGATAAGCTGAGAGGTAGAGTGAATGGATGGACTGGACGATGGCTATCTAAAAGGGGAAAAGAAGTTATGATAAAATCGATCTTGCTTGCTCTCCAGAATTATGTAGTGTCTTGCTTCCTTCTCCCTAGGAGATTTGCGAGAACTTAGCTAGTGTCATTGCACAGTTTTGGTGGAGTTCAAACCCACCAAAAAGAGGTCTCCACTGGAAAACATGGGACAAGTTATGCTTACCCAGAGAAGAAGGTGGAATTGGCTTTACGATGATCCACGAGTTCAACCTTGCGCTACTAGCAAAACAGTTATTGGAGACTGGTACAAAATCCGGACTCTCTGGTAGCTCACGTTTTGAGAGGTCGGTATTACAGATTGAGTACGCCTTTGAGTCAGATCAATACTAGTAGCCCATCATATGTGTGGACAAGTATATCGGCGGGAAGAGAACTGTTATTATTAGGAATTCGACAAAAAGTCCATTCGGGATATGAAGTTAAAGTTTGGGAAGATCCTTGGATTCCTACTATACATGCGAGACCAGCAACCCCATTGGCACCGGTCTTGCATCCGAATATGCGAGTGAGTGATTTGATTAATCAAACAACGAAGACTTGGGACGAGAGCTGCCTTCAGAACTATGTAGCTGCAGCTGATATACCACTCATTAAGAGTATGGCTATTAGCTCCACGCACCGCCGGGCTACGTACTGTTGGAGTTATACTAGGACTGAACAGTATACAGTTAAATCTGGATACTGGGTAGCACGAAATATCTTGATGAAAGAAGAGGAATCTGTTGTATGTGAGCCTAGTATCACAAAACTCCAAGCACATGCTTGGAAGGTCAGGGCCCCCCCAAAAGATTTGTCATCTTATGTGGCAATTGATAACAGGACATGTGGCTGTCATGAGCACTTTAAACTATAGACATATAAGATGTGATAACTACTACCCTCGTTGTGGGGAACCTGAGGAAACGATCACACATGCAATCTTTGAATGCCCACATGCATTACAAGTTTAGGCGTTATCATCGACGCCTACCAATCCCGCTTTGTTCCCGTTATCATCAATGCGTGGAAGGTCAGGGCCTCCCAAAAGATTTGTCATCTTATGTGGCAATTGATAACAGGACATGTGGCTGTCAGGAACACTTTAAACTATAAACATATAAGATGTGATAACTACTGCCCTCGTTGTGGGGAACCTGAGGAAACGATCACACATGCAATTTTTGAATGCCCACATGCATTACAAGTTTAGGCGTTATCATCGACGCCTACCAATCCCGCTTTGTTCCCGTTACAAAGCACGTACGCGCACATGGATTATCTATTCTGGAGGAAAAATGCAATAATGGAACCAGAATTGGATAGGGATCCTTATCTCTGGCTAATCTGGTACATTTGGAAGGCTCGGAATGATAAGTTATTCAGAGGTATCGATAGAGATCCATTGGAGGTAGCGCGCTATACGGAAAGTGAGTGTCAAGCCTCGTTCCAAGCAAATGAGCCGGATATATCGCCATCCCTTGGGAACGGAATAGATGAAGACCAGGCCTTAAGTCTGGGTAACATATGCATGGTGGATGGATCTTGGACTTCTACTGACCTCTTCAGTGGATGTGGATGGGTACTGAATGATAGCTCTTGAAATGGCCAGTTAATGGGGATGCGTAACTTTGATAGAGTGGAATCGGCGTTGCATTCAGAGTTGGAGGCACTGCGGTGGGCAATGGAGAACATGCTTCAACATTCGCAATGTCAGAGCTTTGGAACTGATTG